CAGGGAACTCACAGTCTACTGTGAGAGAAGACAATTAAATGGCAACAACACTACATATTATTAAGGCTGCAGTAAGGATACTGTCTTAGGTTGCTAATGCTGCTATAACAAAAATACCACAAGTGAGTAGCTTTAAAGAACAGAAATTTATTTTCTCACAGTTTAACAGGCTTGAAGTCTGAATTCAAAGTACTGGTTATAGGGGAAGGCTCTTTGTCGGCTCTGGGGAGAGATGCTTGTCTCAGATTCTGCAGCCCCGGTATTTCTCCATTCCTTGGTGATCTTCAGGTGGCATCTATCTCCCTCCTCCCAACCCCGTTTGTGCTTTCTTGTCTCTGTGTCTATGCTACTCCTTATAACTCAGAAGTGATTAGGTTTAGGAAACTGCACTGATACGGCCTCATTAACATAACAAAGAAAATCCTCTTCCCAAATCAGATTACATCACAGGTATAAGGGTTAGGATTCCAACTCCTATTTGGGGGGACACAATTCAACATAACAGGTAGCAAAGGGACTATGAGATTCTAGAAAAGGGGTTAGATCACCCCTAAAATCTGTTCCCTGCGCCACCTTCTCCATCTACTCAGTGGTGACTCTAATCTTCCGTTGTTCGGACTCAAAACCTTGGCATCATTCCTGACTCCTCTCCCTCTTTCCGTTCTCCACATCTAACCAGCAGCAAATACTATTAGTCCTACTTTCACAGTGCTTCAGAGTCTGACCACATCACCTCCTTGCTACCACCCTGGTCTGAGGCACCACCGTCTTGCCTGGACTATTGCAGTGGTCTCCTTGCCTCTCCCCTTTCCTCCCTTCAGTCTTGTGTTCTTCACTGCCAGAATGATCCTTCTAAAATGTAAGCCAGACCATACCGTTTCTCTGTTCAAAAGGCTTCCCATCTCACCTACAGAAAACCCAAAGCTCTTCCCATGACCTGCAAAAGATTTCTATAATATGACAGTCTCGGTCCACTTCTTCTCTGATCTCACCTCTTACCACTCTAGCCCTTGCTTGCTGTTCCTTGAACATGCCAAGCATGTTCCCTCCTTGGGGTCTTTGAATTTGCTATTTCCTCAGCCTGGAACATACTTCCCACAGATACCTCTGTAGTCATTATATATTACTGTGTGACAAATTACCCAAATCGTCATGGCATAAAACAACAATAAACAATTATTATGTCTCACAGTTTCTTTAGTCAGGAATTCAGCTGTGTGGTTCTGGACCATGAGCAGTCAGGATATCAGCCAGGTGTAGTCATCTGAAGGCTTGACTGGGGCTACAGGATCTGCGTTCAACGTGGTTCACTCACATGGCTGTGGGCTAGAGGCCTCAGTTCCTCACCACGTGGGCGTCTCCCTAGGACTGCTTGAGCATCCTCACAACATGGCAGCTGGGTTCCCCCAGAGTGATCAATCCAAGAGAGCAAGGCAGAGCCGCCTTTTATGACCTAGTGTCAGAGGTCAAACTTCATCACTGCTACCACATTCTATTCATTAAAAATCAGTCACTGAAAGCATCCCACATTCAAGGGGAGGAGAGTTAGGCTCCATCTTTTGCTAGCAGGAGTATCAAAGAATCTGTGAATCTGTGAACAACTTTTAAAACTACCACAGACTGCAAGGTTGGTTCCTACTTCCTTCATGTCACCACCTCCCTGCTAGCTCCTCAGAAAGGTCTTCTCTGATTACCGTACACAACACAGCAGTCACCTTCTCTCATTTCCTATCCCCATTATACTGCTTTATTTTCTCCATAAGTTATTACTATCCAACAAGCCATACTTTTCTTGCTGTGCTTATTATCTACTCCCCAACTGTAATGTAAATGATTTCGGGGGGCATCTCAGTCTTGTTCACTGCATCCCCGCACCCCAAACTGGCTTGGACGCTGCACGTATTCAGTGAGCTGGAATTAATGAATGGGTCAGCTCAGGCCGGGACAAATATGGGAAGAGGCAAACCTTGCTGGGACTGGACCAAAATTGCAAGCATTGAGTTGGCTGAGAAAAGCCGGGATAGCATTCTACATGGAGCATAGACATGGAGAGGGAATCCTCATAGCAGGAGAAAAGGGGCAGGGAGTTTGTAGGGAAACTGAGGCTGAACAGGATGGAGGAGAGTTCTGGTAGTATGGAGCTGGCAGTGAGGAGGGCTGGGAGGCCCTGACTAGAATCTCCATCCTACCTGGGCCTGCAGTCTCTCCTGGCTCTGCATCTAAAGATGCGCCGGTAAGTGGCTGACAGAGATGGATGTGTTTTGCTGTCTTTCCTTCAATATTGACTGGGCCTGGCCTGCTCTCCTCCTGCCCTAAGGAGCAGGGGGCTTATCAGACAGATTCATCCAGAGTTATAAAACCAGTCTTGATGCACTGGCTGCAGGAACCTAGTGCATAAGAAATGCTAATTAATGCCTTTGATCAATGCTTGACCTGGGGTCTGAAGGCCTGATGAGCACTCGCTGGAGGGCGCCAAACACACCTGTGACTCTAAACTCCTGCCTCCTTCTGGTTGTTGTTGTCGACTCTGACTCATGGAAACTCCATGTACAACAGAACAAAACATTGCCCGGCCCTACGTCATCTTCACGTTCACTGGTATGCTCGAGTCCGTGGTTGTGGCCACTGTGTATTTTGGGTGCCTTCCAACCTAGGAAGCTCATCGTCCAGCACTACATTGGGCAATATTCTGTTGTGATACATATGGTTTTCAGTGGCTGGTTTTCAAAAGTAAATCACCACGTCTTTCTTCCTAGTCTTAGACTGGAATCTCCACTAAAACCTGTCTACCATGGGTGACCTTACTGGTATTGGAAATACTGGTGGCATAGCTTCCAGCATCATAGTAACACCCAAGCCATCACAGTATGACAGACTGACAGACAGATGGTGATCTGGTTGGGCACCAGGAAATCTAGGGACAGACTCTTCAAAAGCTGAGTAACTAGGGAAGTTCCTTTCCCTCTGGGCCTCAAATAAGGAGGTAGAAGTCACAGGGGATTTCCCAGTGTTGTCTGGAGCCCATGTCAGCTGCAGAGAAGAGAACTCTAGGCCCTCATGAGAACTTCCAAAGGAGGTGACCTCATATCTGCCAAAAAAAACCCAAAAACAAACTTGTTGCTGTCAAGTTGACTCCAACTCCTAGCAACCCTACAGGACAGAGTAGAACTGATCCACAGAGTTCCCAAGAAGCACCTGGTGGACTTGAACTGCTGACCTTTTGGTTAGCAGTTGTAGTTCTTAACCACTTCGCCACCAGGGTTTCCCATATCTGCTAAGGACACGTAATTGAAGATTTGGTTCACAAGGAAGTGGAGGGAAAGAGAACTGACACTTTTTGTTTACATGTTGCATATATTATCTCATTTTATCTTCATAATAACTCAACAATATAGGGACTGCTATTATTCCTTGTTTTTATAATTGAGGAAACTGAGACAGAATGATTAAGTGACTGGTCCAAGGTCCTTTAGCTACTAAATGGCGAAGATAGGGTTTGAATCCAGGTATGTCTGTCCCATATACAAATAAGGCAGAGAAATGGAATAGTAATGGCCAAAGGAAGTTTGAATGAATTCTATCATGCTTTAACCTCCAATTACACTTTAAAAAATTTATTGTTTTAAGTGGAAGTTTACAGATCAAATTAGTTTCCCATTCAACATACTGTACAGACAATGTTCCATGACATTGGTTGCAATCCCCACACTGTCAGCACTCTCCCCATTTCCACCCTGGGCTCCCCATTTCCTTTTGTCTGGTTTTCCTACCCTTTCCTGCCTTCTCATCTTTACTTTTGGGCAGATGTTTTCCTTTTGGTCTTGTATAATTGACTGACCTCCAATCATACTTTGAGAAAGCAAGCGGAATGCTGGTTTCCAGCCTCTCCCTCTGGTTTACTCAGGATGGGATAGACTATGCTGCAGTAACAAATAAACTCCAAATCTCAGTGCCTTAACCTAATTAAGGTCTATTTCTCTCATGCAAAGTCTGATGTGGTTCAGGCACCTTTCCTCCATCTAGTAACTTCACCTTTCAGAATACGTGGCCTCCAAAGTCACAGTGACAGAGGAAGAGAGCTGGAGAGGGCACACTGACTGTCTTGAACTGGAAATGACATGGAGCAATGGTTATGTGCTTGTCCGCTCACTGAAAGGTTGGCAGTTGGAACCCACCCAGCGGCTCTGCAAGAGAAAAGACCTGGCGATCTGAACCCGTAAAGATTACGGCTTAGAAAACCCTTTGGGAAAGTTCTACTCTATCACATAGGGTTGCTATGAGTTGGAGTCAATGGCATGTAGCAACAACTCCCACTCAGAGGCCACTGCCCGAAAAAAAAATAATCTCATGACCCCAACCTACTTGTTTTAGTTATCTAGTGCTGCTATAACAGAAATACCACAAGTGGATGGCTTTAACAAACAAGAAATTTATTCTTTCACAATCCAGTAGGCTAGAAGTCCAAATTCATGGTGGCAGCTCCAGAGGATTTCTCTCTCTATCAGTTCTTGGGGAAGGTCCTTGTCATCAACTTTCCCTGATCCAGGAGCTTCTCAGCTCAGAGATCTCGGGTCCAAAGGACGCACTGTTTTCCTGGCTGTTGTTTCTTAGTGGTATGAGGTCCCCCTGTCTCTCTGCTGGCTTCTCTCTTTTGTATCTCAAAAGGGGTTGACTTAAAAAAACAACCTAATATTGTAGATTGAGTCTTGCCTCATTAACATAATTTCTATTCATCCCACCTAATTAACATCAAACACGTAGGATTTACAACACATAGGAAAATCACATCAGATGACAAAATGGTGAACAATCACACAATACTGGGAATCATGGTCTAGCCAAGTTGACACATTTTTTTTTGGGGGGGGGGGACACAATTCAATCTGTAACACTACTGCAAGGAAACTGGGAAATAATGGGAAGTCTGTGGAATGTTTGGTGAGCATTAAGTGTCTCTGCCACATCCTAACAGTTTTGCCTCCTTATTTCTTCTCCTGCAGGGCAGAGCCCCAGAGCAGTCCTGTGATCCCAGCTCAGGATGGCCCCTCAGAAAAGCTGGGTCAGCGTCTGGCCGATGAGGCCCTGGGTGCCAACAGCTGGCAGAAAGACAAGGCCTGCCGGGAGCTGAGCCCTGCTAGAGCACGCAGGTGAGACCCTGCCCCCCTCCTCCCTTCAACCCAATGGGATGTCCAAGTTGAGGATACAGAAATGAAGTTTGCCTCTCTGGCCACCTCTCCCCACTCTCTTTTCAAAGTTCCTCTTACTGTCATTTAAATTACGTGTCAGCAATTTTTTTCTATAAACCACCAGATAATAAAATTTTAGGTCTGTGGGCTGTACAGTCTCCATTTCATACACAAATAAAACAGAGAAATGGAGTAGAAATGGCAAAGTGGAGTTCGAACTAATTCTATCATACTTTGTCCTCCAATTATGCCTTGAGAAAGTAAGCTAAATGCTGGTCTCCAGTCTCTCCCTGTGATTCAGTCAGAATAGATCTCTGTAGTAACTACTCAAGTCTGCTCTTATAGGTTGAAAGCAGCCATAGACAATATATAAATAGATGGGCATAGCTGTGTTCCAATAAAACTTTATTTACAAAAACAGGAGGTGGGCCTGATTTGGCCTGTGGGCCATAGTTTGTTGACCCTTCCCTCAAATGATAGAGTTCCTTTGGTCTCCATTTTAATGACTGTGTGTGAGCCATTGATTCCCAAATCATGACTCAGCCCAGGCTGTCTCCTGAGTTCCAGCTCTTTGTATTCATTCCTTAATTCAGTTATTCAACCAATATTTTTTGAGCACTAACTATGTGAAAGGCACTGTACTCAGATCAGAGGGTACAGCACTGTACTGATGCTTGGAGAGACAAAGTGATTGCCCAAAATATGGCAGCCAATAAGTGGCAAAGTGAAACTTTGAGTTCTAGTCTAATCTTCAATTCTACACTAACAGCCACCATATTATCCTTTTGATCTAATGAAAAAGCCAATCTATCCCCGTCCATTTTTCTGTTTTGTTCCATACACATATAAAACCTAACCCAGCTTTGGCTTCTGTAGACTCTGATTCTGGGTATAAAGCTGTTTTTATAATTCAGCATCACTAGCTGGCCTAGAAGCCTTATTGCTACTCCTCCAATGAACTCACCACCCTCTCCCTACCATGGGCCTGGATCTAGTCCCCAATGACAGGCAGAGAATGAACTGGTATCCTTATAGCAAAATTCCCCAGATACAACCCCTGCTTCCTTATGCTGAATTAGAGTAGCAAAGCCATTTTACAGATGGGGACACTCAGGGCAGTTGGTAGCAGGACCAGGATGAGGCCCAAATACCCCTGATTCTGGTCCAAACTCTCTCCTTACATTCTGGAGCTTTTTTGTTTACTAAGGTAGAGGTTCTAAGCCATATTGGGGGCCCGAGTGAGAATCAGATAGAAGCTGTGAGTGCTGCCCCCATGAAAAATGTATACATAAGCCCCAGGTGCACCCCCCAAATTCTGTGTACCATTTTGTAGAGGTCATCGACTCTGAGGCCCATTAACAGGGACCCCTAGTTAAGAACCCCATTCTAACAGATGTGGTTACAGAATTTTGTGAAAGAGAATTGGGAAGTCAGAACAGCTTTCACATCTGAAGTCCATCCCTCCACCCAAGATGCCCTCTTGGCTATGGGCTTTAATTAGGCTGTGAGTTCAATGAGGGAGAAACAATCAAGTCCTATCAGCTTGGAGAACTGAGGTTCAACATCAAATCTGGAGACATTATCTCCAGGAAACAGGAAAGGGGTTGTTTCTACAAGAGGCTGAGGGGGATGGAGAGAGAAGGGTGGGGGGAGGAAGGGGACTTCTATACTTTCAAAACATTGTCTCCCAAACTGTTAAGGGAGAGTCAGTGTGTTGTATAGATTTGCGTTCAAACTCCAGGCTGCCACTTACTAAGTGACCTTGGGTGCATTACTTTTCCCCTCTGGGCCTCAGTTTTCATAACTATAAAATGAGGATACTAAGATCTAATTCTGAAGGTTGGGGTCAGGCATGTCCAGATCCTGGCATTGAGCCTAGAACACAAGAGGTGCTCAAAAATGTTCATTGGCAACTCGAGGAGCAAGAAGAGAAGGTTCTGGATATGAAAACCTGAGAAAAGATGCCATGTTGTCAACTCGATTTGGAATGTCTGGGCCTCTTGCTCCCTCCTTCTACCCGACTGACTCTCTGACATAATAATGACAATAATAATCACAATATGATAATAGTGATAACAGAGGTCATAATCATAATAGAACCCCACTTACTGTGCCAGACCGGGGCACATGACATGAGTGAGCACCTTCATTCATCACAGCAGATTCATGGCAGAGGCACCGTATTTTATTCTCATCTTACAGAAGATGAGAACGAGGCTCAGAGTGGTCTCTGAGCTAGAGGAAGCAGAGCTGGAATTTACGTCAGGTTTGTCAGCTTCCAGAGCCTTCATTCTTCAGTGCTGCGGGCTTAACTGCTTGCAGGCTTACCCACTACCTGCTTCACCATTACATTTGTAACCATGGAATACTTAACCACTGCATATTTAACAACTACATATGTAATCATGGGATATTGAACCACTGCATTCAATACTTTATTCGTCTTCTGCATACTTGACCAGTGAGTACTTAATTTCTGCAGACCTTCCTACTACCTAAGAAACCTCTGTATAGGTAACCACTGCATACTTAACCACTGTGTACTTAACCATTAGATACATAACCATGGAATAGTTAACCACTGGATAGGTATCCACTGCATACTTAACCAGTGCTTACTTAATCACTGCAGGCTTTACTATTGCATACGAAACCTTTGTATAAGGTAGCCACTGCAGACTTAACGACTGCGTACTTAACCACTACAAACTTAACTGCTGCATATGTAACCAGTGTGTTCTGAACTACTGCATACTTAATCGCTATACTTAGTCACTGCATTTGTAACTGCTACACGACATATTTAACCACTGCATAGTTCACCACTATGAATTTAACTGCTGCTTATATAACCGCCGTGAACTTACCCACTGTTCCCTCTGTGCTGGCCCACGTAGGAGAACTGGGGCAAGGTAAAAAGGGGGTGGAGGAAACGCAGACCTATCTGGTGAACGCCCTGGGAGATTTATGGAGGGGGTTGATTATTCCTGCCTCACAGACCTCAGCATCATCCCATCACTGAAATCTGAGGCCGAGACAGTGGTTCTCAAGCCCTACTTTTCTGGCACGCGGGGGTTCCCAAAGTCAGAGTGGTCACCTGAAATAGTGGGACCTTTTCCTATTTTTCAAGACAGACTTTTAAAAGATTTTTTAAAAAGTTTTTCTCTCGTAAATGCTTCCCCCCCCCACAAATTCCTGCCAGCTGTTACACTGGGAAGTGTTTACAGGAAATGAGATGATTTCACAAGGGGCTCCATCTTTTCATCCATTCATCCTTCATCTGGTCACTCAACAAATATTTATTAGGTTCTTGCTCTCCATCAAGCACTTGTTGGAGGGAAAGCTTGGAAGTGGCCCACCATGTTCACACTAACAGCTTGTTTGCTTCCTAGATATGTGTACTGTGTTCCGTGCTCTATAACATGTAACCATAGCCCTGGTGGCACAGTGGTTAAGAGCTCAGCTGCTAACCAAAAGGTCAGCAATTCGAATCCATCAGCTGCTCCTTGGAAACCCTATGAGGCAGTTCTACTCTGTCCTATAGGGTCGCTATGAGTTGGAATCGACTCAGTGGCTATAGGTTTGGCTTGGGGTTTTACGGCTAAGTAGCCAGGTACTGAATTCCTATGTTATTTGTTTTTCACCTGCTAAAAGTGACTCTCTTGAAAATATTAGATAGATGATTTGTAAAAAATATTTTATTGTGTTTTCAGTAAAGTTTTGTTTACACAGCAGTTTAGGTTCCCATTCAACAATTTTTATACAAGTTGTTCAGTGACATTGGTTACATTCTTCACAATGTGTGAACATTCTCTTTATTTCCATTCTGGTTGTTCTGTTTCCATCAATCTAGTAGTTTCCCTGCCCCCTTACATTCTCATCTTTGTTTTAAAGTAATTTTCACCGTTTGGTCTCATGTAAGTGATTTTTTAAAGGAGCACAGTACTTACAGGTGATATTCATTCTTTTTTGAGCCAATTTGTTATTTAGCTATAAGGTGACCTTGAGTTAGTTTTGGTTCAGGGTTTGAAGAGTATCTCAGGGCAGCAGTCTCAGGGAGTCCTCCAGTTCCAACCAGCCTGGTAGGTCTGCTTTTTTTGTTTGTTGGTTGGTTGGTTGGTTTTTTAAGAATTTATGGTTCTGTTCCACATTTTTCTCCCATTCCATCAAGGTCCATCTATTGTGGCCCTGATTAGAATGGTTAGTAGTGGTAGCCAGGCATCATCTAGTTCTTCTGGTCTCAGGGTAGATGAGGCCATAGTTTGTATAGACTATTTGTCCTGTAGTCTAGTTTCTTCTTTGAGTCCTTGGTTTTCCTTCTTTCTCTTTTCTTCTGCATGAGTAGAGGCCAATAAATGTATATTAGATGGCTGCTCGCAAGCTTTTAAGACCTCAGACACTAGTCACCAAACTAGGATGTAGAACATAACTTCATGAACTATATTATGCCAGTTGACTGAGATGTCCCACGAGACTGTGATCTTAATCCTTCAAACCCAGAAATCCAATCCCGCAAGGTATCTGTTTATGTCTAAGAAGCATCCATAACTATAACCCCTATGTGCATTACATGTATGAATATATGTACATATAGTCTCACAGATACATATACATACACTTATATATACACACATATATACTACCTATACACATATATGTCTACATATATACATATATACCTGCAGATATATATTTTTGTTGTTTTTGCTGTTGTTTCAAAATTACATATGCCACAGCAATTACCAACAGCTCCTTTTCTCTTATGTACTTTTTAGTGACATTGTTTACCTTTGTCAAGCTGTACACACTTCATCCTCATTCAGTGTTACCTAGATAGATGATTTTTGTTTGCAGGAGACAAAGAGACCTTACTATATATTCTTATAATTCTTTCTACTAGTCATAATGATCTAGATTCTTAGAATGAAACTAAATATCACAACATTTTATGATGTTCTATAAAGAGCAATTTCCAGGAGTTCAGCCACACAAGCAAGTTTGAGAAGGCTGATGGTTTTGTGGTAAAGCTCTCAGGATAGAAATCACACAGGCCTAAGTTCGAATCCCAGTTCAGACGCTTCCTACTTGTGGGGCCATGGGCAAGTCAGCTCAACTTTCTGAACCTCATTTTCTTCACCAATAAAATAAGAACAAAGTCATAGCACCCTCTATGTGTTTTTATGAATCTCAAAGAATAGAAAACACTTGGCACATAATAAGTGTTGAATAAATGGTAGTTGTTAAATAATAATGGAGCCCTGGTAGTGCACTGGTTAAGAGCTTGGCTGCTAACCAAAAGACTGGCAGTTTGAATCCACCAGCCGCTCCTTGGAAACCCTATTATGGGGCAGTTTTACTCTGTCCTATAGGGTCGCTATGAATGAGAATCAACTCAACAGCAACAGGTTTGGGGTTTTTGGTTTGTTTGTTTTTGGGTTATTAATAATGACAATAATATATTTTACCAGTGAAGTTCAACTGATTTGGCATGTTTCAATTCTCAGCCGGTTTTTTATCCAAAACAACCTCACTTTGCCATGGGATAGCATTTAAAAAAAGTCCCTGGAGCCAGCCCCAGTTATAAAAGGAGATAACTTGACTTCATTTAACTGCAGCCTGAGCATTTGAATTTAATTGAATGGGAAATAATTATTCCTGAAGAGCAGAGGTTTTTGAGGTTCTGTGAGGTGATATAAAAGATATGTATCTTGTTACATTAGATATACTTTTAATAATCAGCTGCTAGTTAACATACCTTCCACCTCTGATTAAATTTCCAGCAGGAAATATAGACACCATGTATTGGGGAACTTGGGGTGGGGGCCTGAATTGCTGATTAATTATTTAAAAAGTGATTTATTTACCAAGGTGAGCCATGTGCAAATTCAATAATCTATTAAGGAGCAGTTAACCTCTATAACTGTTTTAAATAATCAGTGGGTGTTTGTGTAATGTAGAGCGTCTGTCTCATTAGGTCGGCATTAACTTCTCATTTGAGGCACTTAATCTCAAGTGTGACCGAATCATTCATGAGGTGGTAACTGGGTATTCGCTATGGGTCCTCGATCCTCCTAGAAACTGGGGTCCTTCCCAGACTACAGCCGCCCTGGCTTAGAGGTTGGAGAACCCTCAGACCTCAACGCCTGACTTTGTGTTCCCCACAGTGCCCGTGACAAAGACTTAACGCCACTGCCTTCCTCCAGGGGTAAGAAGAAAAAGAAGAAATCCACCAGGAAGAAGAGAAGGAGGTGAGGGCACCAAGGGGAGATGAAACCTTAAAGATTGGAGGAAGGGAAAAGAAAAGGGAGTAATATGGGTTTTGGACTCAGGCAGCGCTGGGTTCAAATCCATCTCTGCCTCTTACCTAGCTGTGTGACCTTGGGCAAGTCACTTCATCTCTGGGTGCCTGTTTCCACTTGTATAAAATGGAGATAATATCTACCTCTTGAGGTTCTGTGAGAATTAGATAAGAATGTGGAAGCAGCTGTCGCGATGTCTGGCACAAAGTAAATGGCCAGTTCACAGGAAGCACAGTCATTACCATTCAGTGAATACATTTTTTTTGTTTTGGAGCGCTTACTCTGTGCCTATGACTTTGGTCCCCGTTACCTCTTGTACACCTCGCCACGGTGTTACAAGGCGAGCATTACTGTACTCATTATGTTGTTGTTAGGTGCCATCAAGTTGATTTTCAACTTGTAGTGACCCCATGTGACAGAGTAAAACTGCCCCATAGGGTTTTCTAGGCTGCAATCTATATGGGAGCCACAAAGAACACCAGGTCTTTCTCCGGTTGGGTGGGTTTGAACCGCCAACTTTTTCAGTCAGCAGCCAAGCACTTGTACCACCAGGGCTCCTCGTACCCATTTGAGAGATGGCAAAAGAAAGGCAAAGAGAGGGGGTGACAGAACCTACAGGACTGTACCCCAGCCTTCTCAGTTGGTCCTGCTACACTCACATGCCAGGTTAAACACCAAGGATAATGGACTTCATATTTTTTGCCAACTATAATTTTTTATACCTTATTATTTTTTTTTCTGTGTGCAATTTCTCTAGTATTTCAAAAGATTGCCAGCTTTACTCCTAGGCGTCCACTAAATAGACTAAAAGCATGCCCAGTGTTTGCAGCTCCAGTCAGATGGGCTGAACTCCTGGAGGGGTGAGTTGAGACTCCCACCAAACCTTGTTTCAGAGGCAGTGTTTACAGAAGCCTGCAGGGGGCAGCAGAGAGCAGTTTCTGGATGACAGGCCCCAACCCCAGGTTTTTTGGGACCTTGTTCTGTCAAGGGAAAGCCTTGTGGTGTACTGTTAAGGGCTTTAGCTGCTAACCAAAAGATTGGCAGTTTGAGTTCGCCAGCTGCTCCTTGGAAACCCTGTGGAGCGGTTCTACTTTGTCCTACAGGGTCACTATGAGTTGGAATCAACTCAAAGGCAGTGGGTTGGGTTTGGTTCTCCGGGTCATGATGATCCGAGGCTGCCTCTGTTTCTTGGGTAGCCCCTTGGTGGCACTACCCATGCTGACCATAGCCTGGCAGAAGCTGCTCTGAACATTCACCTTTACCAGGGAAATAACAAGGTAGGGCAAAGGAGAGGGCTGAAGAATAAGAAAAGGGGGCATAGCTTAGAGGGAGAACAGCAACCAAAAACAAATCTTTAGGGCCTGACCAGGAAGACAGCTCTGGGGCACCTCAGTGATTGAGAGCAAAGTAACTGGGATCAGAGAGACCTCAATGTACCCTTTTCTTTTCTAATAATTTATTTTTTTGGTTGTTGAAAATATACACAGCAGAACATACACCAATTCAACAATTTCTACATACAGTTCAGTGACACAGACTGCATTCTTTAAGTTGAGCAACAATTTTCACCCTCCTTTTCCAAACTGTTTCTCCCCCATTAACATAAACTCCCTGCCCCCTAAGCTTCCTATCTAAACTTGCAAGTTGCTGTTGTAAGTTTGATCCCATATACAGAGTTCTTTAAAAGAGCACAATGCTCAAGGCAGACATTCTTTTCTTTTTGGTTTTGTTTTATAAGTGTTTTTGAGCTATAATTCACATATCATAAAATACACCCTTTTATTAAGGTATACAATTCAGTGGTTTTAGTATATGCAGAGAGTTGTACAATCATCACCACCACCACTATCTAATTTTAGGACATTTTCATCACTTAAAATAACAAAAAAAAGTACCCATTAGTGGTCACTCCCCATCCTCTCTTACCTCCAGCTCCCAGCAACCACTAATCTTTCTGTATCTATGGGTTTGTTTATTCTGGATATTTCATATAAATGGAGTCATAACACATTAACTGTTAATAATGGCAGAGGAGACCCATTCCTTCATCTCTACCCAGCTACCATGGCTTGATTGGGTGGATTTCTGCTTCCAGAGTAAAGCCCAGTATATAAATCTGTAAGCCCTTATTATATACAGCATGAATTCCCTTGGGGAAATAACAAATTGGCTAAAAAATACAGTCACATTGAAGTGAAGCTGGTTTTGCTCAGGACAAAAGTGCCTGAAATTAATCACCTTCTGAAATCATTACTTTGTAATAAGTATGTTCTGCAAAAATGTAGAGTCTATATGGGTACAGTACTTGCATCTATTATATTATGAAGAGACAAGGAAAATTAACTACAAGCCTCCACTCGCCTTTTTTTTAATTGTACTTTAGATGAAGGTTTACAGAACAAACTGGCTTCTCATTAAATAGTACACATATTGTTTTACGACATTGGTTAACAACCCCACGATACATCAACACTCTCCCTTCTTGACCCTGGGTTCCCTATAACCAGCTTTCCCGTCCCTTCCTGCTTTCTAGTCCTTGTCCCTGGACTATTGTGCCCCTTCAGTCTTGTTTTATGGGCCTGTCTAATCTTTAGCTGAAGGGTGAACCTCAGGAGTGACTTCATTATTGAGCTAAAAGGGTGTCCGGGGTCATGCTCTAGGGGTTTCTCCAGTCTCTATCAGGCCAGTAACTCTGGTCTTTTTTTGTGAGTTAGAATTTTGTTCTACATTTTTCTCCAGCTCTGACTGGGACCCTCTATTGTGATCCCCGTCAGAGCAGTCAGTGGTGGTAGCCGGGCACCATGTAGTTGTCCTGGACTCAGTCTGGTGGAGGCTGTGGTAGTTGTGGTCCCTTAGTCCTTTGAATTAATCTTTCCTTTGTGTCTTTAGTTTTTTTCATTCTCCCTTGCTCCTGAAGGGGTGAGACCAGTGGAGTATCTTAGATGGCCACCCACAGGCCTTTAAGACCCCAGACGCTACTCACCAAAGTAGAATGTAAAACATTTTCTTTAAAAATCTGTTATGCGAATTGAGTTAGATGTTCCCGAAGACCATGGTCCCCACAGCCCTCAGCCCAGTAATTCGGTCCCTCGGGGAGTTTGGACGTGTCTATGGAGTTTCCGTGACCTTGCCTTGTACAAGTTGTGGATTCCCCAGTATTGTGTACTATCTTACCCTTCACCAAAGTGACAACGTATCTATTGTCTCTGCCCCTCCCCTCCCTTGTAACCATCAAAGATTGTTTCTTTTTGTGTGTAAACCTTTTCACGAGTTTTTATAGTAGTGGTCTCATACAATATTTGCCCTTTTGTGATGGACTTATTTCATTCAGCATAATGCCCTCCAGATTCATCTATGTTGTGAGATACTTCGCAGATTCATCACTATTCTTTATTGTTGTGTAGTACTCCATTGTGTCTATCTACCATAGTTTGTCTATCCATTCATCTGTTGATGGGCATCTAGGTTGTTTCCATCTTTTTGCTATTGCAAACAATGCTGCAGTGAACATGGGTGTGCATATGTCTATTTGTGTGACGGCTCTTAGTTCTCTAGGCTATATTCCTAGGAGTGGAATTGCTGGATCATATGGTCTTTCTGTTTCTAGCTTTCTAAGGCAGTGCCATATCGTTTTCCAAAATGGCTGTACCATTTTGCATTACTACCAGCAGTGCATAAGGTTCCAATCTCGCTGCAGCCTCTCCAACATTTGTTGTTTTCTGTTTTTTTGATTTGTGCCAGTAATGCCGGGGTGAGATAGTATCTCATTGTGGTTTTGATTTGCATTTCTCTAATGGCTAGTGATCGCAAACATTTCCTCTTGTCTCCGTTAGCAGCTTGAATGTCTTCTTTGCTGAAGTGTCTGTTCATTTCCTTTGCCCATTTTTTAATTGGATTATTTGTCTTTTTGTTGTAGAGGTGTTAGATTTTTGTGTAGATTTCAGAGATTAGACCTTTGTTGGATTTGTAATAGCCAAATTTTTTTTTCCCAGTCTGTAGGTTCTCTTTTTATTCTTTTGGTGAAGTCTTTTGATGAGCAAGTGTTTAATTTTTAGATGATCTCAGTTATCTAGCTTATCTTCTGGAGTTTGTGTGTTGTTAGTTATGGTTTGTATCCTGTTAATGCCATATATTAGGGCCTCTAGTGTTGATCCTATTTTTTCTTCTATGCTCTTTATCATTTTTGGTTTTACATTAAGTTCTTTGATCCATTTTGAGTTAGTTTTTGTGTATGGTGTGAGGTATGGGTCCTGTTTCATTTTTTGCTGATGGACATCCAGTTTTGCCAGCACCATTTGTTAAAAAGACTGTCTTTTCCCATTTGATGGACTTTGTGCCCTTGTTGAAGATCAAATGACCGCAGATGGATGGATTTACATCTGGGTTCTCAATTCTGTTCCATTGGTCAATGTATCGCTCGTTGTACCAGTACCAGGCTGTTTTGACTACCGTAGCTGTATAGTAGGTTCTGAGGTTAAGTAGTGCGAGTCCTCCTACTTTATTCTTCTACTTCAATAGGCTTTGCTTATCCGGGGCCTCTTCCCTTTCCATATAAAGTTAATGATTAGTTTTTCCATCTCTTTAAAGAATGTTGTTGGTATTTGGATGGGGATTGCACTGTATTTGTAGATTGTTTTGGGCAGAACTGTCATTTTCACAATGTTGAGTCTACCTATCCATGAGCATGGTATGTTTTTCCATTTATATGGATCTCTTTTGGTTTTTTATGGTAGTGTTTTGTAGTTTTCTTTGTATAGTTCTTTTACCTCCCTGGTTAGATTTATTCCTAAGTATTTTATTTTTTTTAGGGGCTGTTACAAATGGTATTGCACAAATGGTATTGCTGTCCTGATTTCCTTTTCAAAATTCTCTTTATTGGTGTATAGGAATCCAACTGATTTTTGTATGTTGTATCTTGCTACTCCGCTGAATCTTTCTGTTAGTTCCAGTAGTTTTCTCGTGGAGTCTTTAGGGTTTTCTATGTATAGTATCATATCATCCACAAATAGGGAGTTTTACTTCTTCATTACCAATGTGGATGCCCTTTATTTCTTCTTCGTGCCTTATTGCTCTAGCTAGGACTTCCAGCACAATGTTAAATAGGAGTAGTAATAAAGGGCATCCTTTTCTTGTTCCTGTTCTCAAGAGGAATGTTTTCAGCCTCTCTCCATTAAGAATGATGTTGGCTGTTGGTTTTGTATAGATACCCTTTATTATGTTGAGGAATTTCCCTTCTGTACACATTTTATCAAGAGTTTTTATCAGGAATGGGTGTTAGACCTTGTCGAATCCCTTTTCTGTGTCAACTGAGATAATCACGTGATTCTTTTCTTTCATTTCATTTATGTGGTCAATTACATTGATTGATTTTCTAATGTTGAACCATCCTTGCATACCTGGTATGAATCCTACTGGATCGTGGTGTATTATTTTTTTGATATGATGCTGAATTCTATTGGCTAGAATTTTGTTGAAATATTTTGCATCTATATTCATGAGAGATGTTGGTCTGTAATTTTCATTTTTCTGTGGTGTCTTTGCCTAGTTTTGGTACAAGGGTTATGCTGGATTCATAGAATGAATTCAGAAGTATCCCTTTCTATTCTATATTCTGAAATAGTTTGAGTAGTACCAGTGTAAGCTCTTCTCTCAATGTTTGGTAGAATTCTCTAGTGAAGCCATCTGGGACAGGGCTTTTTTTCTTTTTAATTTTTTCTATTGTACTTTAGGTGAAGGTTTACAGAACGAATAATTTCTCATTAAACAGTCAGTACACATATTGTTTTATGACATTGGTTAACAGCCCCATGACATGTCAATACTCTCCCTTCTCAACGTTGGAGGACTTTTTTTTTTTTTTTTTGGTGAAAATATACATAGCCGAAGTTACACCATTTCAAAAATTTCTATACGTACAATTCAGTGACATAGATTACATTCTTCTAGTTGTGCTACTCTTCTCACCATCCTTTTCCAAATTATTCCATCACCATTATCTTCAACTCACTAGCCCCTAGGCTTCCCATCAAACCTTTTGAGTTGCTGTTGTCACTTTGATCTCACATAGATAATTCCTTTTTTTTTTGTACCTTACATGAAGGTTTACAGAATAGTTTTTCATTAAACAGTACACATATTGCGTTATGACAATGGTTAACAACCCCATGACATGTCAACACTGTCCTTTCTCAACCTTGGGTTCCCTATCACCAGCTTTCCTGTCCCCTCAGCAGGGCTTTTTTTCATTGGGAGGTTTTTTTTTTTTTTTTTTTTTAATTACCTTTTCAATCTATTCTCTTGTTATGGTCTGTTCAGATTTTCAACATCATTTTGTGTTAGTTTGGGTAGGTAGTGTGTTTCTAGAAATACTTCCATTTCCTCTAGGTTTTCAGTTTGTTAGAGTATAGTTTTTCATAATATTCTATTCTGATCCTTTTTATTTCAGTTGGATCTGTTGTAATGTCACCCATTTCATTTCGTATTTGGGTTATTTGCATCCTCTCCTGTTTTTCTTTTGTCAGTTTGGCCAGTGGTTTGTTGATTGGGTTGATCCTTTCAAAGAACCAACTTTTGGTTTTGTTGATTCTTTCTATTATTTTTCTGTTGTCTATTTCATTTATTTCTGCTCTGATCTTTATTATGTCCTTTCTTCTGGTGGCTGTGGTCTTCTTTTGCTTTTCTGTTTCTATTTGTTTGAGTTGTATAGCTACTGTTTTGATTTTGTCCCTTCCTTTTTGATGTGTGCCATCTATTGCTATAAATTGACCTCTGAGCACTGCCTTTGCTGTGCCCCCAAAGGTTTTGGTACGATGTGTTTTCATTCTCATTTGAATCTAGGAATGTTTTGATTCCATCTTTGATTTCTTCTATTACCCAGTAGTTTTTAAGCAGGGTGTTATTCAGTTTCCACGTAACTGATTTTTTTTCCTTGCTCTTCCTGTTGTTAATTTCTTCTTTGACAGTATTGTGATCAGAGAAGATAATTTGTATTATCTCATTGTTCTGGATTTTGTTGAGGGTTGCGTTGTGGCCTAAGATGTGGTCTATTCTGAAGAATGTTCCATGTGTGCTGGAAAAGAATGTGTACTTTGCAGCTGTTGGGTGGAATTTCTATATATGTCTATGAGTTCAAGTTGAGTTTCTTTCTAGCTGTTCTGTCCTTTACCAAGAGTGGTGTATTGAAGTCTCCTACTATTATTGTGGAACTGCTAATTTCTCTTCAGTGCTGTTAGAGTTTGCTTTCTGTATTTTGGAGCCCTGTCATTGGGTGCATAGTATTTATTATGGTTACATCTTCATGACGAATTGTCCTTTGAATCATTATATAATGCCTTCCTTTGTCTTTTATGGTGGATTTTGTTTTAAAATATATTTTATCTGAGATCAGTATTGCCACTCTTGCTCTTTTTTAGTAGCTGTTTGCTTGATATTTTTTTTCCCATTCTTCGATTTTTTTAATAAATTTACATCTTTGTTTCTAAGGTGTGTCTCTTATAGACGGGATATTGATGGATCCTGTTTTTTAATCCATTCTGTCACTCTCTGTCTCTTTATGGGTGCATTTAGGCCATTTACGTTCAGTGTAATTATTGATAGGTGTAAGTTTATTGCAGTAATTTTGTAGTGCATTTTTTTGTGGTGCTGATGTTTCTCTTACTCTCCTGTGCTGAATTCCCTTTGTTTGTGGATTTTTTTCATTTCTTTTGTTTTTGTAGATTTCGTTTTTACTGAGACTTTATGTTTTTCTTCTTGATTTTGATGAGTAGGTTTGTTAACTTTCTTTGTGGTTACCTGGAAATTTACCCATATCTTCCTAGGTTTGAACCAGTCTTTTATTACTTAGTATCACCTTGCCTTCCTCTCCAATAGAAAGTTCTATACCAACACCATTTATTCCCTCTTTTATTGTTCTGACGTTGTTGTCATTTACACATTAACCTCTCTGGTTCCTTGTTGTAAATCTTTTTGTTTTGCATAATCCTTGAGAGTTCATATCCTAGGTTGGTATATGGCTTGTGTGATCTTGTGTCCTAGATTCAGGCTGTTACCTTTTGTTGTTTGTTCTTAAACCAAAGGACTCCCTTTAATAATTCTTGTAAGTTTGGTTTGGTTTTTACATATTTCCTTAATTTCTGTTTATCTGAAACTGTCCTAATTTCACCATCTGAACAAGGGTTTTGCAGGATATATTATTCTTGATTGGCAGCTTTTTTTCTTTCAAGGTTTTATATATGTCATCCCATTGCCTTCTCGCCTGCATGGTTTCTGCCAAGTAATCAGAGTTTAGTCTTTTTTCGTTTTTCTCAAGTTGCTCTCAGCATTCTTTCTTTGTCTTTGGTTTTAGTGAGTGTGATTATGATATGCTTTGTGATTTTCTTTCAGGGTCTGTCCTATATGGGGTTCGCTGAGCTTCTTGGATGGTCAGCTTTTCATTTTTCATGATATTAGGGAAGTTTTGTGTCAGCAGTTCTTCAATGATACTCTGTGTTTTCTGTTTTCTCCCCCTGTTCTAGAACTCTGATCACTCAGAAATTTTTGCTTTTGATTATATCCCACATCATTCTCAGGGTTTCTTCATTTTTCTGATTATTCCTCAAAGTGGTATCCAAGTATTTGTCTTCAGTTTTGCTGATCCTGTCTTCCACTGTTTCAAACCTGCTCCTCAGCGCTTCTGTGACACCGTCCATTTCTGAAATCTTGTTGTTTATCTTTTGAGTTTCTAATTGTTGTTTTTGTATGATTTTTAGTTATGAATTTATTTTGAAATTTTGTTCCTTTATTATTTTCCTGAATTCTTCCATTGTTTTGTCTGTCTTTTCCATGATTTGGTCTGCCTTTTCCATGAGTTTGGCTAATTTTTCCTCATTTTTGTCTGCTTTTTGCTTCGACTCTTAGATAGCTCTGAATATAAAAGATTTGAATCCCCTATCAGGTAGTTCCAGTACCTTTTCTTCTACTGGAAAGTCATCTGGTGTTTTATTTTTAACTCCTACTGGAACCATCCTGTCTTTTTTTTAATATGTTTTGATATTGGAAAGACCTCAGTTTAAATCCCAGCTTGTCTATTTCCTAGCTGTGTTACTTTGGGCAAGTCACTTCACCTCTCTGAACCTCCTTTCCTTGTCTTCAAAAGGAGAGTAGCAGTTGTCCCTACCTAACAAGTGTGTGAGAGGATTAAATGAGAGAGTGCATATAGAGTTAGATAGATACACAGACTCATGACAACATTATGTACAATGGAAGGAAATGCTGCCTGGTCCCATGTCATCCTCACGAGCGCCAGCATGTTCAAGTCCTCTGTTGCACCTATTAGGGCAATCCATCTCACCAAGGGTCTCCCACACCCTCACTGGCCCTCTGCCTCACCCAACATGATGTCCTCCTCCAGCAACTGATTCCTCCTGATGACATGCCTAAAGCAAGTGAGTTGGGCAATGTTCTGTTGTGATCCATAGGGTTTTCACTGGCTGATTTTTAGGAAGTAAATCACCATGCCTTTCTTCCTGGTCTGTGTTGGTCTGAGAGCTCTGCTGAAACCTGTCCACTATGGGTGACCCTGCTGGTATTTGAAATAACAGGTGGCATAGCTTCCAGCATCATAGCAACATGCAAGCCACCACAGTACAGCAAATTGACAAATGGGTGGTAATGTACATAAAGCACACAATGATGTTTAAAACAGATGCAAGCTGATGCCAGTACTGGTATTATCCTTGAAGTGTATTACTGAAAGAGATGAGACCCTGCATGGGGTAGGGCAAATGTCTCTTTGAAGGCAGCCCTGACCTTTGAGAGCTTCCCTCTTAAGTGTGTCTCCCCTCCCCCAACAGGTCCCCATCATATAGCCCATCACCTGTCAAGAAAAAGAAGAAGAAAAGTTCCAAGAAGCATAAGCGACACAGGTATTGTTCTTCCTCTTCTTCAAATAAGGACACACCCAGATAGGGTGGGCGGTGCCAAAAGATTATTTGGAAGGATATCATCTCATTTAGGTAAAATAGTTGCCTATTTATTGTTATTTCTTTGCATTTTGTATAAGTAAGGACTCTGGATGCAAGGACCAGAAGCTCACTGAGGCTAACTCAAGCCACAAGGAGGACTTGATTATAAGGAGACAGACTGTCCAGGAACAAGCTAGGCCTCAGTGAGAGGCCAGACCCAAGGAACAGAGAGGTGATGGAACCAAGCAGGAGATGGAGTTCTCTGTTTCCTAGTCCACATGCTAGGACATGGCTGCACCCTGCTCCCATCTCTCCATGTTGCAGGTCTTGCCACAAGGAGAACTGAATCTCTGCCTTGTTCTGTATTCCAAATTCCCAAGGCAGGAACTATCTTGTTGGTCCAAGGATGCCCTAGAGGGCGGGGTCGTGTTGTAAAGCATGACCACTGCCATTATTCACCCTTGTGGATAGGGAAGTGGGAAAGTATTAAAGGATTACTATGAACTGGAGACACATTCCAAAAGGTGTCCACCACACACACATTCACTCACATGCATGTTTCCAAAAAACACAACCCACCAACCTAGAAGGATATACACCAGAGGGCTCAAATTTGTGGTATATGGGCCAAGCCAATATTTTAAAATTAGATTTTGTGATATGAACACTCCTGGTCTCTAGTTCCTCTGTAAAATCAAAAGCTCTGTCCTCACTGGGCCAGTTTCCCCACCAGCAGCCATCTGGACACATTCGCCTCACCAAGTAGTAGAGAGCTGATAGATCCTTATATTCCTTGCAGCCTAAGTGGGGAGGAGGATTGGTGAGGTGTCCCCACCTCCATGGAGCCTGATCACAACTACACTGATACATTCATCCCAGCAGAAGAAACCTCGAAGTTGCTCATATTTATTTTCTTCCTTCCTTTCTCCCCCTTTTTTTTCCTTTAACCAGGTCATTCTCCAAGAAGAGAAGGCACAGGTAAGAATCTTGTTGCCTCTGGCTGCTTGCTTCAGCTTTCTCAGTCAACCAGGCTTTGGGCAGCTTGTAGGGTCAGCTCTCAGTCTCCATCTCTGGAGATGTTTTTGGGTACACCTCTTCATCTTCCTGGGACTCACTTCCAAAATGAAGGCATGGGCTGGTTTCCCTGAAAGTTCCAAGCCAGCTTTCAACTTCCATCAGTCCAGGTGGTTGTTCCTGGACCAGTCTCTGCCAGTGCCCCTCCCTAGAAAGTCTCACTACCCTGCCAGAATCTGTTTGGATGAAATCTTGAACTGAGTACTTTGAAGCATATAGAGATATATTAGCCCCACCCACCAGGTTGGGTAAACAGCCTCAGCCCCTCCAGCATTACCTGACCCATATGTCTTTCGGCCAAAGCCTTCTCAGATCCTGGTCAAGGGACAGAGCTCAAGTCCTAGTAGATTAGAAACACTGGGTGAGCACAAATAAAGCCACACCTATTGGGTACTCATAAGCTCGACCATGCACTAAGCCCTTTCCATCCATGTGTGTATTTAATCCCCATTACGCAGAAACAGAAAACCAAACCCGTCGCCACTGAGTCAATTCTGACTCATAGTGACCCAACAGGACAGAGTAGAACTGCCCTTTAGAGTTTCCAAGGAGCAGCTGGTGGATTCAAACTGCCGACCTTTTGATTAGCAGCCGTAGCTCTTAACCACTGCGTTACCCTGTGAAATTCCCACTTTACAGATGACAAAACTGAGACTCAGATAGGAGATGGGACAGGTGTGTCCACAGACATACAGCCAGGAGGAGGCAGAGCCATAATTCACACTCAAGTCTGTCAGGCTGAGGGTCGGGGCAGGCCCAGAGGGTGACAGCGGCTTCTTAAATAACAATGGCTGCATCTAGAGCAGTGTACAAAGCCCTTTCTTTTATTCATCTACAAGTAGACATTGATCACCACTGTTATCCATCCACTCATCCCAACAGACTGAGCAGTGTCCCCATGTCACAGGTGAGGAAGCCGGGCCTTAGAGAGGATAGGTAACTTGCCCATCATCACACAGTCACTAAGGGGCAGAGCTGGGACTCAAACTCAGATCTTCTAGTGAGGTCTGAGTGCTTCCACTGCACAGGTTGAATCTCAAACAGGGAGACAGCGTCTGCAGCTCATGTCATGGTGTGATTACAGTTTGATGAAATTAGATTTTTTCCCTTCCCAGGACCTTGGCCAGTAATGGGTTCTTAGTGACTCACTGAGGCCAGTCTGGCTTGAATTACCAATTAGTGTTTGCCCTCTGGGGCCCACCTTGTAATCAGGCTGCGACCCCGAATCATCACTGTCCTCACTGTCCGTACTACTCATGCCCCAATCGTCTCACCAAAAATTAAAAAAAAAAAAGACACTTGAATATTCACAGGCAGAACATTTCAGAACCTGCCAAGCTTTGTGAAGCTTCAGTGTAGTTGCCAGGATATTCTATTCTCTTCTCTTATAAATTGATTGAACAGTGGTCAAGATCATGGGCTCCAAGGACCCATGCTCTGGGGCCACATCCCTTTTCCACCTGTGGTTCAATTTTCTCATCTGTATAAGTGAGAGCTTATTAAAATGTACCTATACCCAAAGCGGTAAAGTAGAGGGTTAGCAAAAAAGAGGAAGACCCTCGACAAGACGGATTGACACAGGGGCTGCAACAATTGTGAGGATGGTGCAGGACCAGGCAGTGTTTTGTTCTGTTGTATGTAGGGTCGCTATGAGTCGGAACCGACTTAGTGGCACCTAACAACAAATACCTGTAGGGAGAATGAAAGGAGATTGTTGACGTAAAGTATTTAGCAGAGTTCCCAGCCCATAGTAGAGCCTCAAACGTGGCAGATACTGTTATTATTAACCTACAAAGCTGAACTTGGCCTCATCAGCAACCCTATTCTCAGCATATGTGTATGAGTTGGTGACCTGAACTGAACCAGCTAGGTGTAAAAGTTGGCAGCGACCTGTGTGGTCTTGGACAGTGATCAGTGTCCATGCCAGAACTGCCTGTATCTGGCCTGCAGTGTGTTAAGCATTTAAACTACTTGTTTATTTTGATCTGTAACTGGAGTTTAGCATCTTTCAATTAATTGGCCATTTCTCGTTTAGCTCCTCTAGCCCCAAAAGCAAAAGAAAGGAAGAGAGGAGGCACAAAAAACAGTAAGTAGATACCACCTAGAACACACTATTCCAGTTTGGGGACGTAGGGAATGTGGCCTCTTAAAAGCTAGAGTGTTGGAGTTGGCAAATAAACAGGGAAAAGGAGAAGTGGGTGGGTGGGTGAGTGGGAGGGAGAGAAGACAGAACTGTGTGTACTTGCAGTTGTGGGTTTAAGTGTGCATGAGTGCACATGGCTGTGTATCTGGTGTATTTGTTTATGCGTGCATGGAAGATGTGTGCTGGCGTGCCTGTGTGAATTCTGTGTATGTCATGTGTGTTTATGTGTAGCCTGCACATTGTAAATGTCCGTTTCTTCATCATGTAAACATCTGTGTGCACTGTGTGTACAAATGTATACAATGTAGGTGTATACTGCATGCATGTGGTATATATTTGTGTTCGCAGAAATGCACTGTGTATGCTTGTGCTTATGTGAGCAGGAGCATGAATGGTGTGCGTGCAGGTGCACTGTCTGTAGTCTGTGTGAATTCTGTGTATAGGGCTTGTGTGCTGGTTTTTACAGTGCGTGTGTGTGTGATGTATGTGCATGGGTGCCTATAGGGGTGTGATCGTGTGTGTGCACATGCGTGAGGAAGCGTATGAGCTATGCAGCTGAGTCTTACAATGTGGAGATCTCAGTGAAGCCCCTATCCCCAGTCTTAGGGCCCCAGCTGTTTCACACTTTATAGCTGGTAGCAGAAATTCCAATCAGCTAGTGCTGCCTGTGGAGTTCAGTTCCCGGCCAAATTAAAAGTAAATTTGGTTATAACCCACCTACTTTATACACTGCAAATGTTAGTGCGTGTGTTTTCCAGTCAGCTAATATTTTATCTCCTGCCAAGAAGCTTCTAAAGTGAGGATCAAAAGCAATGGGATAAAAGGCAGTCAGCTGCTGGGGAGGGGAAAAAGGGAGGGCGCCCAGCTCTGCTGCCCTAAAGGGTCTCTTCACCCAGGGTCAGTGTGAAGGAGGGCAGTTCAGCCACAAGCACGGGAGCCTAATGATTGCTCCAGAAGGAAGCAGTGAAACCTTGTATCAGCTCAAAGAAGAACTTCTGGGTCATCAGACTTGTTCAATTCAAGCCAAGAGACAAATATTGACCATATCTATTGAGAGTGCTTTCGCTCTAATCACAGACAGAGCACATATTCTCAGAGGTCTCAGCACTGCTTGTCCAGTGTTGTTGCTGGGTACTGTTGAGTCAATTCCAACTCACAGTGACCCATGTGACAGAGTAGAACTACTCCATAGGGTTTTCTAGGCTGTAATCTTTACGAAAGCAGATTGCCAGGTCTTTCTCCTGTGGAGCTGCTGGGTGGGTTCGAACCACTGACCTTATAGTTAGCAGCCGAGCATTTAACCATTGAGCCACCAGGGCTCCTACTGTCCAGGAGGGCCCCGAATAGGCAGCCACCAAGGCAGGGCAGGGCCCACACCCAGGAGAATGAAGAAGATAATCACTGAGGCAAGGACTGCCTGTGTGAAGACAGCAAGGTGGGCCCCTCCCTGGTGCCTAGAGCAGAATGTGTCCTAGAAATTGCTCGAAAGGGATAAGAAAGGCTTAGGTGAGCTAGAGCCAACATGGCACCCCAGACAGACGCACCACGCCGACCCTCTGCGACAAAGACCCGAAAAACTAAGTAAAACAGATATAAACATCAATCCTGGAACCCTAAGCATCAAATGAAGGGATAAAGAACTAGATCAAACACCAAATGGAAGAAATATTAAAGGGAGTCCTCTGGTTAGAGAACCAACAACATCCAGAGTCTAGGACGCAGGACGGCATCAGGCAGATACCAACCTAGGTAAAGAACCTGAAATTAGGTAAAGAACCTGAAATAATAAAACAAAGCTAAAAGACTTGAAACAGGGAAACAGAGATGTCAATCTGTAAATGACAACAACATCAAAACAATAAAGGAGGGGAATAAACGGTATAATTATAGAACTTTCAAATGAAGAGGAAGTCAAGGCAATATCAATTTCAAGGTAATCACCAAGAAAGTTAACAAACCTACTCATCAGAATAAAAAAGAAGAAAAATGTAAAGACTCAGTAAACACAGTAACTATAATAACAAAGAAAATCCACAAGCAAAAGGAACTCAGCACAGGCAATTAAGAGGAAGAAAAAAATCGTCAGCATCAAAAAAAAACAAAAAAAAACACAATAATATGACAGCAATAAATTCTAAACTCATACCTGTCGATAATCACACTGAAGGTAAATGATTTAAATGTACCCGTAAAGAGTCAGAGAGTGGCAGAATGGATTAAAAAAACACAACCCATCAATGTGCTGTCTATAAGAGACTCTTAGACAAAAAGACATAAATATATTAAAAAGTAAAGGATGGAAAAAACATATCAGGCAAACTGTAACCAAAAAAAAGCAGGAGTGGCAATACTAATCGCAGATAAAACAGACTTTAAGGCAAAATTAACATTAAAAGACAAGGAAGGACAGTATATAATGAATAAAGGCACAACCTAACAAGAAGACATAACCTTAATAAATATCTATGCACCCAGTGACAAGGCTCGAAAACACATAAACTCTAACAGCGCTGAAAAGAGAAACAGTTCCACAATAATTGTAGGAGACATCAACACACCACTCTCAGTATAGGAAAGAACATCTAGAAAGAAATTCAACAAAGATACAAAAGATCTAAAGGCCAAAATCAACCAACTTGACCTCATAGACATATATAGAACATGCTACCCAACAGCATCAAAGTATATATTCTTTTCCAATGCACATGGATCATTCTCTAGAAGAGACTACATTTTAAGCCACAAAGCAACCCTCAATAAAATAAAAAATATCAAAATGATACAGAGCATTCTCTCTGATCACACCACCATAAAAGTAGAAATCAATAACAGGCAGAACAAGGAAAAAAATAAAATACATGGAAACTGAATAACACCTTACTTAAAAACCATTGGGTAATAGAAGAAATCAAAGAGGGAATAAAAAAATTCCTAGTATCAAATGAGAATGAAAACAAATCGTAAAAAAAACCTTTGGGACACAGCAAAGGCGGTGCTTAGAGGTCAATTTATAGCACTAAATACACACATCATAAAAGAATAAACCAAAATCAAAATGTTAGCCCTACAACTTTAACAAATAGAGAACAGCAAAAGAGCCCACAGGCACCAGAAGAAAGGAAATAATAGAAATTATAGCAAAAATAAATTACGTAGTAAATTACATAGAGAACAGAAAAACAATAGAAAGAATCAACAAGCGCAAAAGTTGGTTCTTTGAAAAGATCAACAAAATTGACAAATCCACTGGCCAAACTGACAAAAGAAAAACAGGAGACGAAGCAAATAACCCAAATAAGAAATGAGATGGGGGACATTACAACAGACCCAACTGAAATTGAAAGGGTCATAATAATGAAAATTGTACTCCGACAATTTTGAGGCCCTACAGGAAGTGAGGAGCCCTGATGGTGCAGTGGTTAAGATTCTGGCTGCTAACCAAAAGGTTGGCAGTTTGAATCCACTAGCCACTCCTTGAGAACCCTGTGGGACAGTTCTACTCTGCCCTATAGGATCACAATGAGTCAGAATCGACTTGATGGCAATGGGTAGAGGAAATGGACAAGTTCCTAGAAACACATTACCTACCTAAACTAACAGAAACTGAGACAGACAATCTGAACAGACCCATAACAAGAGAAGAGATTAAAGAGGTAATAATAATTTAAAAAACAAAAAAAACAAAAAAAAACTCCCACCAACAATAACAAGAAAAAGCCCTGGCCTGATGAGTTCACTGGATAATTCTACCAGAGAAGAGCTCACACTAGTACTACTCAAACTATTTCAGAGCATAGAAAAGGAAGGAATACTCCCAAATTCATTCTATGAAGCTAGCATAACCCTGACACCATAGCCAGGCAAAGACATAACAAAAAAAGAAAATTACAGACCAGTATCTCTCATGAATATAGATGCAAAAATTCTCAACGAAATTCTAGCCAATAAAATTCAGCATCATATCAAAAAAAAAAAAAAATAACATCACAACCAAGTGGGATTCATACCAGGTATGCATGAATGGTTCAGCATTAGAAAATCATACATATAATGATCTCTATCGACACAGAAAAGGCATGTGATAAAGTCCAACACCCTTTCCTGACAAAAACTCTCAATAAAATAGGAATAGAAGGGAAATTCCTTAACATAGTAAAGGGCATCTATACAAAACCAACAGCTGACATCATTCTCAATGGAGACAGGCTGAAAGCATTCCCCTTGAGAACTGGAACAAGACAAGGACGCCTTTATCACCATTCTTATTTAACGTTGTGCTGCAAGTCCTAGCTAGAGCAATAGGGCCAAAAAATAAATAAATAAAGAGCATCCAAATTGGAAAGGAAGAAGTAAAACTATCTCTATTCACAGACAATAGGCTCCTATACATAGACACACCCAAAAATTCCACAAAAAAACTACTGGAACTAATAGATTCAGCAGAGTAGCAGGATATAAGATCAATGTACAAAAATCACTTGGATTCCTATACACCAACAAAGAGAACTTTGAAAAGGAAATCAGGAAAACAGTACCATTTATAATGGCCTCTAAAAAGATAAAAATACTTAGGAATAAGTCTAACCAGGGCTATAAACAACCTATACAAAGAAAACTACAAAACACTATGCTAGAAACGAAAAGAGACCTACATAAATGATGGAAAAACATACCATGCTCATGGATAGGTAGACTCAACATTGTGAAAATGTCAATTCTACTCAAAGCGATCTACAGATATAATGCAATCCCCACCCAAATACCAACAGCATTCTTTAATAGGATGGAAAAACTAATCACCAACTTTATATGGAATGGGAAGTGGCCCCAGATAAGCAAAGTATTATTGAAGAAAAAGAACAAAGTAGGAAGCCTCACACTGCCTGATCTCAGAACCTACTATACAGCCATGGCAGTCAAAACAGCCTGGTGCTAGTACAATGACAGACACATAGACCAATGGGACAGAATCCAGAACCCAGATGTAAATCCACCTACCTATGGTTAGCTGATCTTTGACAAAGGACCAAAGTCCATTAAATGGGGGAAAAGACAGTCTTTTAACAAATGGTGCTGACAAAACTGGATAGCCATCTATAAAAAAATGAAACAGGACCCGTAACTCACAACATACACAAAAACCAACTCAAAATGGATCAAAGACCTAAATATAAAGCCTAAAACGATAAAGATTATGGAAGAAAAAATAGGGACAATGCTAGGGGCCCTGGCATAAATAGAATACAAACCATAACTAACAATACACAAATACCAAAAGATAAACTAGGTAACTGGGAGCTCCCAAAAATTAAATACTTATGCTCATCAAAAGACTTCACCAAAAAAGTAAAAAGAGAACCTACAGATAAGGAAAAAAATTTTGGCTACAACATACCCAACATGATCTAATCTCTATAGAATACTTCAACACCTCAACAACAGAAAGACAAGTAATCTAATTAAAAATGGGCAGAAGATACAAACAAACACTTCACCCAAGAAGACAGTTAGGCAGCCAACAGACACATGAGGAAGTGCTCACTATGATTAGCCATTAGAGAAATGCAAATCAAAGCTACAATGAGATATCATCGGACCTCGACATTACTCCCACAAAAACAGAAAATAACAAATATCGGAGAGGCTGCAGGGAGACTGGAACTCTTATGCAGTGCTGGTGGGAATGTAAAATGGTACAACCACTATGGAAAATGATAACTGCACTTCCTTATAAAGCTAGAAATAGAAATACCATATGATCCAGCAATCCCACTCCTAGGAATATATCCTAGAGAAATAAGAGCCGTCACACTAATAGACATGCGCACATCCACGTTCATTGCAGTATTATTCATGACAGCAAAAAGATGGAAACAGCCCATCAACAGATGAATGGATAAACAAATTATGGTGTTTATACACAACGGAATATTATGCAACAATAAAGAACAACGATGAATCCTAGAAACAACTCACAACATGGATGAATCTGGAGGGCATTATGCTGAGTGAAATAACTCAATCACAAAAGGACAAATAGTGTATGAGACCACTATCAAAAAAACCCAAGAAAACGTTTACACAAAGAAAAAAATAATCTTTGATGGTTACAAGGGAGGGGGGAATGGATAGAGGAAATCACTAACTAGATAGTAGGCAAGTGTTAACTTTGGTGAAGGGAAAGACAACACACAATATAGGGGAAGTCAGCACAACTTGACTAAGGCAAAGTCATAGATGCTTCCTAGACACATCCAAACACCTTGAGGGACAGAGTTACTGGGACTGAGTGCTGGGGACCATCGTCTTGGGGGACAGCCAGGTCAATTGGCATAACATAGCTTATAAAGAAAATGTTCTACATCTTACTTTGGTGAGTAGCATCCGGGGTCTTAAAAGCTTGTGAGTGACCATCTAAGATACATTTACTGGGCCCATCCTGTCCAAAGCAAAGGACAATGAAGAAAAACCAAAGATACAAAGAAAATAGTAGTCCAAAGGACTAATGGACCACATGAACCACAGCCTCCAGCAGCCCAAGCCCAGAAGAACTAGATGATGCCCGGCTACCACCACTGACTGCTCTGACAAAGATCACAATAGAGGTCTCGGACACAGCAGGAGAAAATGTAGAACAAAATTCAAATTCACAAAAAAAGACCAGACTTACTGGCCTGACAGACACTGGAGGAACCCCCGAGACTATGGTCCCTGGACATCCTGCTAACTCAGAACTGAAGCCACTCTTGAAGTCCACCTCTCAGCAGAAGATCAGAGAGGCTTATAAAACAAACAATAACACACTTGAGGAACGTGCTTCTTAGATCAATCAAGTATATGAGACCAAGTGGGCAATACCTGCCCAAAAGCAAAGACGGGAAGGGATAGGAAACCTGAATGAATGGACACGAGGAACCTGGGGTGTAAAGGGAGAGAGGGAGAGTACTGACACATTGCGAGGATTGCAACCGATGTCACAAAACAATTTGTGTATAAATTTTTGAATGAGACACTAATTTGCGGTGTAAACTTTCACATAAAGCACAATAGAAAGTAAAAATAAAAAAAAGGCGCAGGTTGCAGATTAGGCAGGATGTGCAAGCCAAAAGACAAGAGTCAGGGGAAGGAAAAGCAAGCAAAACAAGGCATATCCTAAGATAAAGGATGGTGTGTTGCCAGGATGCAGAACAGGTTTTAGCAGAGAGTCTAGACTAAGATGGACTAGAAAGGTCTCATCACCTGCTTCCGAAAATCAGCCAGTGAAAACCCTGTGGATCACAAGGGTCCGATCCACACACGATCATGGGGAGGACGCAGGACCAGGCAGCATTTTGTTCTGTTGTGCATGGGGTCACCATGAGTCAGGGGCCGACATAGACAGTAGCTAACAACAACATTTTCACCAAATCCTATGATTTAGCCTCTTTTTATTCAACATTCCACAGTGAGGCCCTAATATGTCGTAGAACCAGTGCTGGGCCCAAGGACAGAGATTAGCAGATAACTCTCCTGGTCTTGAGGAGCTCACAGTGCTGAGGCCCACAGGAAATGGACATGAGACAGATCTCGGCACAGCAATGGCAGATGGAAGCCCAGGGCACTATGGGAACTTGGTGCTGGAAAGAGGGCTTGGTGGTGAGAGGAGGCTGCCTGCAGGAGGGGTGAGGGTGGGAGGTAACATTCTAGGCTGCAGGTTAGATAAGTTGTTTAAACTCTGTGCCTCAGTTTCTTCATCTGTAAGATAGGAATGAAAATAGAAATCTACTTCATGAACTGTTATAAGGAATATTGTTGTTGTTAGCTGTCGCATTACGACCCCATACACCATAGAATGAAATGCTGCCCAGTCCCGTACCATCCCCATGATCGGCTGCAGATCAGACCATAGTGATCCATAGGGTTTTCATTGGCTGATTTTCTGAAGTAGACCACTAGACCTTTCTTCCTACTCCATCTTAGTCTAGAAGCTCCACTGAAACCTGCTCAGCATCATAGTAACACACAAACTCTGCTGACAGACTGGTGGTGACCACACGCGAAGTGTATTGGCCAGGAATCAAACCTGGGTCTCCTGCATGGAAGATAAGAATTCTACCACTGAACCACCAATGCCTTCACCACATATATAACCGCAGCATATTTAATGCCACTGTGTACTTACTGCATACTTCACCACTGTGAACTTAATTGCTGCTGATGTAACTGCCGTGTACTTTCCCACTGTTCTCTCTGTGCTGGCCCACATAGGAGAACTGGGGCAAGGAAAGAAGGGGGTGGAGGAAATGCAGACTCACCTGGTGAAGGCATTTGGAGACTTACGGAGGGGGTTCATTATTCCCACCTCACAGACCTCGGTATTATCCCATCACTTAAATCTGACTCTAAGACAGTGGTTCTCAAACTTTGCCCTTCCGGGACACTGGGGTTCCAGAAGTTAGAGTGGTCATCTGAAAACAATGGGATCTTTTCCTATTTTTCAGGACACACTTTATAAATGCTTAGAACCCAGTGCCTGGCACACAGTGTTAGATAGGGGTTATCATCTGTCACCATCAGCATCATCAAGAGGGCATCTTCACCTGGAAACGTGTGAGCCAGAGTAGAAGCAGCTTGGTGTTACTGGAGCTGCTGCCAGGTCAAGGCAGAAACTGCCAAGCAGTGGGGCTGGAGGGCAGAGCTAGCGCCTGAAGGAGGTATGGTTCAAGCTCAGAGTTTGGACTTGACGTGAAGGCAGTGGGGAGGTTTTAAGCAGGGAAGGGACATGGTCTGATTATTACTTTAGAAGAATCCCTGAGTCCTCTACTGGGATAACCAGGCTACCTCCTGACAGAGTCATTTCTAACTCCCACTGGCTTCCTGGCTTGGCCCAAACCATTCACATCCCTTGCACATCCTTTAATCACCTCTCCTGCAGCTACTACTACTTAGAGGTAGCGGTACTAACCTGTACCAATACCGTTATTAACAGTAGTAACTGTTATATTTGTAATTTTTATTGTTGATGAGGTTTGTAGCCCATTCAGAAAATCTTTTGACTCTGTGCTAAGAATCTTGACTTCATTTTCCAGCTCTGAGGTTACAAATTGGTGGCCCAAAGGCCTAATTTACTTTGCAAGTGTGTTTTATTTGCCCCAAACAGTGTCTTTTTTTCCCTCTAATTAGCTTCCATTTGAAATAGGAGTATTTTACTAATTAGCTTCCATTTGAAATAGGAGTATTTTACAGAAAAATCTGAATTTCCACATTCGCTTTAAAAATTACAAGAGCCAGCAGCACCTCCATACTGTGGAGGCAAAGCAGCCCCTTCCTTTTATATCTTTGAGCACCTGACTGATTCACACCTTCATGGTACCTGACCGGCCCTGAAGCTGTCTGAAATTCACACTCCCACTGTAGGTGAGGGAAGTGACATGTGGAGGCAGAGTTTCTGCTCAGGGTGTGGTCTGCACTGGGTCCATTTCCAGCAGGAAGAGAGGGCCCTTCCCCCACCCATCACCTGTGTTCAGTATGCCTGGTTAGAGACCCCCAAATATTCAGGCAGGAAGCTGGGGTAATGTGGGGTGAGGGAGACAGCATAACTTTGGGGGGATGGTGACTTGGGTACAAGAGGAAAATGTGTGTCAGAAGATCAAAATCTCTCTCCTCATCTGACTTGCTCCTTCCCACCACCCCCCAAGATCTCGAAGCCGGCCCCGAAAATCTCACCGCCACCGCCATCACCGTTGCCACTCACGGTCCCAGAGCTCGGAGTCCCGGTCCTCAAGCTGTGCGAGCAGGTAACCCTCGCTCCCCGGAGCCTCGTCCCCAAGCTACTGACATCAGCTCTGCCTCCTGCCGCTCCCCTAGCAAAGGGACAGTCCTCTGCCTCCACTCAGCATCTGTCACACTTCCCTGCAGAGAAAGGATTGCAGAAAACAAGGAGACCTGCTGCCTCCATGAATACAGGAACAACAAAACCACAGAATGCTAAGTGCTCTTCATACATCAACTCACATTATCCTCTCTGAAACCCTATGAAGTAGGTACTATCTATCCCCATTTTAAAGATGAGAAAACTGAGGCACAGGGAGGTTAAGAAACTTGCTAGTCACACAGTTACTAAGTGGGGGAGCTGGGATTGGAACCAGGGAGTCTGGCTGTGGACTTTGCTGTCTGACTAAGGGATGCTCTAAGCACAGAGAGGCTAAGAAACCTGTGAAAGGGCACAGAGCAAAGTACCAAGTTCTGAGGCTCTTCCCAGTCAGTTTTCTCCTAACCTGGTCCCTCTCTATGCAGATACAGTGGCTCTCCCATCCTGAGAAAGGAGAGGACAGTTTTCCCAGGAATGAGAATAATAATAATAAAAAGAAGAATAGGGGATATTTATCCAACTCCTATGCTGTGCTGGTCAGTCTGCTACAATTCCAAATATATTTTCTCTCTTAACATCCCAATAACACCAGTGCTTCTCCGCTTTGGCTGCACTTGGGGATCCCCTGGGAAGTCTTAAAAAATACGAGTGCCTGGGTCCCACCCACTAGACATTCTGATTTCATTGGGATGAGGTGGGACCAGGGCACTGAGATTTTTTCAGTCTCCCTGGGTGATGTGAATAGGTAGCCAAGAGTGAAACATACTTGAGAAAGAGACAAGCAGGCCCTGACATGGGGAGCTGGCCTGGTACTACCAGCTAGGCCTTGGCATCGACAATTCCACCCAACATCACCATCAGACAAGGCCACTCTGACCTGGATGGATCAAGACAAAAATAAGACCACTCCATGATTACGTCTAAACACAGACAAAAACGACCAAATAGCCCCCTACCTAGCTAACCTGAGTGACTGCTGCTGCTTTATCAATTACAGACTTGTTAGTTGCCGTCGAGTTGGCTCTGACCCGTGGCTACGTTATGTATTACAGAACGACACGTTGCCCAGTCCTGCACCATCTTCATGATTGTTGGTATCTCTGAGTCCATTACAGGCTTCGCCTCAGTCTATTTGTCCCTCTTTCTAGATAAGATGTATTAAGATACCCAATCATAGAATTATGCTCACTTTTGGATGGAATCCATCCAGAACAAAGCCTCAGTCTCTTAAAAACTTCCCAAAATCAGCTACACAAGCCCAGATCCTCTAATACACTCTTACCCCCTCTTACAGAGATGCCCTATGGATCCCTACAGTGTGCATTCTCCCTTGTTGCAGTCAATGGACAGTAAACATGCTGTGGCACACTACAGCTAGAAAAACTGTGTTGGTGGGCAAAGGGATCTGACCAAGTTCACACAGCTAGTAAGTGGGTGGCAGAGGTGGGACTGGGCCCCAGGTCTGAGTGACCCAGCCTGGGCCCTTCACCCCCACCCCAGGCTCAGTCAGCTCCCAGCCGCTAAGCCCCTGCTGGCCTGGGCCAGAGGACCATGCAGGGCCTATTTGCAGACATGCCTCATGGCACTGTGCTCTGCTTTCCCAAAACTTACCTGTTAGCGAGATGGCTGCCATCACAGCCTCCTTCTGCTGCCACGTCTCCTGGTGGTGTTGCCACCTGAGCTCCCCAGGGCCTGTTGGGCTACAGGGCACTCCAGCAGGCATGGGAGCAACCCGAGAGCTAGCACTCTCACCAACACCCAGCACAGAGATGCTCTGGAAGGGCTCAGAGCAGAGAACACTCAAGAGCAAGAATCAGAGGCATTGGTTCTTACAAGGGCAGAAAACTCTGCCTTGACCCTGGTCCTACCACTTACAAGCTGTGCCACCTCAGGCAGGTCCCTAAATGTCTCTAAGCCCCAGCTCCCTCGTCTGTGAAATGGGAATGTAATACCTGCCCTGTCTGTCCGAGTTGTGGAGAGGACTGTGAAAACACCATAAGAGAGTTTATAAGTGCTGTGCAAATCAATAAGGTGTTGTTTTTATTACTGCTGTGGCTCAGAAAGCTAACAGGATATGCAGAGTCCAAATACACCCTTTTCAAGGAGTCAGGCATTCCTTTGGCTTCCATAGCATACAGAGAAGCCAGATCTAGACCTGACAAGCTTGCAGAAGTCAGCTCTGTCATTTTGGTCTGCCATTTTGTCAAAGTTTTGAGTGGCAATCAGTAGGCTGCCTCTGTTTTGCAGATGGCGAAGTCATATATACAACATACAGATATACAGTTATATTTATAGACACTCACATGGAGGAACAGATGGACATACCCAGACATACACACAGTCACAGACAGACAATCATACAGGACATTAAACTAAATTAGGGGAGAGACCTTGTTTGTCTTCATCATGGCTGTATCCCCAGCTCCCAAAATAGTGCTGGGTACACAAATAAACATTTGTTGAATAAACAAATGGGAGAATGGATGGATGAGTGGGGGGGGGGTGGACAGCTGGGTAAGATGAATGGATAGATGGGTGGACGGATGGAAGGGAACAAGGGAGGTAGGGAGTGAGGAAGGAAGGATAGAAGGGTGGATGAATGGGTGGAAGGATGGATGGGTGGACAGATACCTCCACAATACAATTTTCATACACACACAAACATACCCAGGGACAAAGTAGCATATGAACATATACAAACACACCCAAACATATACTCTGTCATCCTCAGATCCTGTTGGTCCCTCAACCACCTCCCTGCTCTCAGGTCTCTCTCCCCTGCCCCCAGGCACCGTGGCCAGTCCCCTGAGGAAGGGCGGAAGTCCCGCAGGAGGCACTCCCACTGCTGTTCCAAGACTCTCTGGAAGGCCAGCCCCGAAGCCCATCCCAGCCATCTGCCCAACCAGCCCCACCCGATGCTCAGCCTCCTGTCAGCCAGGGGTGTAGTAAGTATTCCACACAGCCTCGTCTGCCCGCCCGGGCCACAACCCTGGGGGGAGGTGGAGGCACCAGTTCAGGGCAAGGTATGATACATTTCAATGCCATTACGGGCAAAATTTCCCACTAGCTTCAGATCTCACTATTGATTAACCAAATGGTCACTTGCTAATCTGTGGCAGCACTTGGCTTGGGGACTTGAGCGGGGGGTGGGGGGGATGAAAATACCTGGGATTTTCATCAGAGGACTACTGAAAAATAAATACTGGTCTCCAGAATGACATCACAGGAATACAATATCATAGGAGGTTTCTTTGAGAAGCATAACAGAGGCATTCTAGCTTTTAAAAGAAGTCTGTATCTTTTATGCCCGCTGGCCACCAGCATTGGTTGACAGCTGGGATTTGATTTTACGCATAAACACAACCTTGAATTTGAGTGAAGATTTTCCTCCAAAGAGCTCATAGCGCTTGATCTGTGTGTTCTCATGTGTCCACACAAGGTCTTGGGGAGTTGACGGCACAATTGCTCTCACTAGTCCCTTCCACAGATGGGAAAGGAAAATGAAGGTCTAGAGAGGTTAAGATCTGGGGCAAAGCCACAGAGCGGGGCAATCTGATTTAGCAATCTGGCATTGAAGAGAACCATGCGACGCTCTCCCAGGTCAAGAGGAGGAGCTGGAATTTGACATCATGTGATTTCATGCCAGGAAGTTTCATGAGCAAGGGATTTGGAGTTTGCTCTGAATTCAAATCCTAGCTTTCTCATTTCCTGGCTGTGTGACTTTGGGCAAGTTGCTTAACCTCTCTGAACCTTCGTTTTCTCACTGGTAAACTTGAAGTAATATCACTTCCGTCTGGGGCTGCTGGGGATATTAAATAAGACAAAGTATGTGAAGGCCTTTTGTAGAGTCTAAAGGGACAGACAGACAAACAGGAGGCAATTCAATGCTGACATAGCCTACGATTGCTGTCAACAGCTGTGAAGGGACCTGTCTCCTCTAGCTATGAGTGAACTTAAAAACTTCAGGGAGCTGCTCCCTTAGAAAGGATGAGGTGGAAGCAAGCAAAAGCTCAGGGGTGCTTGCATGGAGGTCCAGGAAGGGAAGGTAATGATAAATAACAGTTGGACAGAGCTGACACAATAGTTATTATCTGCAGTACATTCTGGGAAATTCAGCATCAATCAAAGCACACCTGTATCACCAAGGTCTAATTTTGCCCAAATCCTCTGCTTATCTGGAACTATCCACAACTCTCCCCAGACCCCTCCTTTGCAGAGATGTCCATGAGTACTAAGGACTTGCAGATGGCAATGCCCACTGCATTCTCCCCTGACGGAATGTCCTAAGAAGGGGTCTTCCCAGTATGGCAGAGTCTAGAAGTCTGGGTTCAAGTCTTGGCTTGGATGGACAATCATTTTCTCTCTCACAGCCTCAGCTTCCTCATCTGGAAAATGGGCATAATTATCAAACTTGTTGTTTGAGGATTGTTGCAAAGGTAAAAATAAACTTGAAAAATGAGCAATAAGAAGTGTAAGAACGTTTTTAAGTTAGTAAGGGCAGTCCAATTTCTGCAGTCATGGTATTTATGGCAGCCCATTTGGTGTCCCCAACTGACCCTCACTAAAAGGTGCCATTGGGAGCAACTGGCTTATACCTTCTCACCCACCTGGGATGGTTTCCTAACAAGGCCATATCTGTCAAGATGTTGCAAAAAGCTGAGTTTGTTCCCTCACACCAGCTGATGAGGTTCCAAATTGGCTGCTGGTAGTTTGCTTTCCTAAAACACACAGGTTCTTGGTGGCTTTGGCATGAGATGCCTCAATGTCCCCCTTGGCCCTAGCTCCCATTAAAAGAGCTGCAAGGCAGGGGTTTATCCATACTTAGAAAGGAGCGGCCTTAAAAGCTCACCTAGCTCAATGCCTTGATTATCAAAAAGGGATTCACAAAACAGAAATGACTTACAAGGTAGAGTTGTTAAAATCACAGGATGATGACAGACTTGCAGTCAAACCCAGGCACTGAGCTTGCCATAAATCTTTCTGAGCTACAGTTTCCTCAGATACTCATAGTCACTTTTTGAAAAGGCTTTTTCTTAGCACAAAAACAAAGTAATGTTGTAAACGTGACCCCAGCACTTGGCACAGGGGCAAAACTCAGCAATTAGCAGGTGTTGTGATGACAACATTCCAGATCCTGGCTTGGCTTTTACCAGTGTGGAACCTTGGAGCAAGGTATATAAGCCTTCTCTGTTTCAGTTCCCTCAAAATCTGCAAAATGGGGGTAACAGTAGGACCTACCTTATAAAATTGTTATAAGGATTCAATGACTTAACGTAACTAAAAATTTTAGAACGTAACAGGCAATATGGTATATATATATATATATAAATGCTATATAATGTTTGCTGCTAGTAGTAGTAGCAGCAGTAGTAGTAGCGGTAGGAACAGCACTGGTAATAGTAGTGATGTTAATGTTGTTAGCTGCCTTCAAGTTGGCCCTTAACTCATAGCAACGCCATACACAACAGGATTGGATCAATGTGATCATAGGGTTCTCACTGGATGATTTTTCAGAGGTAAATCACTAGGCCTTTCTTCCTAGTCTATCTTAGCCTGGAAGTTCCGCTGAAACCTATTCAGCATCATAGCAACACACAAGCCTCCACTAACAGATGACTGGTGGCTGCACATGAGGTGCATTGGCCAGGAATCGAACTGAAATCTCCCAGATGGAAGATAAGAATTCTACCACTGAACCTGGTGATGATAGTAGTAGTGGTAATAGTAGTAGCAGCAGTGGTAATCGTAGTGATAGGAATAGTAATAATAACATAGTTCCAGGCCCAGGCAAAGTCAGTGGCTGATCTGGAACTAGAGTCAAGGCCCCTGCTTCCCAGGCCCATTTCTTTCCATTCTAAAAGGCAACTATGACACAAATGAACACAAATGGCTACCTGTACCCCACTCACGGTTGTGTGACTCATGGAGACATCAGAAGCCCTAAAATCTGGTCCTCTGAGTGCACACCATGCTAGGCCCTTTTTCTTTCTTTTTCTTTTTGTCAGTACACATATTGTTTTATGACATTGGTTAACAACCCCACGACATGTCAACACTCTCCCTTCGAGACCTTTTTTTTTTTTTT